CATAATGTAATTATTCTGAGCGTTCAATCGATTTGCAGCCAGATCTACATTTATATATCTAGACAGCTATTGAGCAAACATCATCATGAAATGTGTGCCTGATCAATTATTCACCACAATCTCCCAAAATTCAACACACGTTTGGTATTTATAGATATTGTGGCCATTCATTGAAAGCCGTCACTAAAACCACGATTAGATCCCAAAAGTCTTTGACATAAAAAAAATTAATGCCAAACAAAACACAAAACCTATTCATAAAAGGCTTCAATCAAAAGGGATTTTCCTAAACGAAAACTACATAAATAATTAATTAATTTTATGTTAATTTTGTCATTCATTTAACACGTAAAACACACCAAACATATTACATAATAAGCAGCAAAACATTTAATAGGCATTTAGCATTAACATGATATACAGGGAGTATCACAAAAAACAAACATACAATTCACTACTACTACTAAACTATAGTAAATCTATTTATAATCTATAGTTAATCTATTTATAATCGATTATTAATCTATTATGCAATTTATTCTAACATGTTTTTGTCTCACCCAACCCTTGCCATTGCCAACCCCTACCCCTCTCCCCCTCTACACCACTGAAGGGATGGTGCATTGAAGCCGATATGGAGACCGAACACATGCGACTAAAGCTATTTTTTATGGATTTACATTCAGTGCCTAGAAATCACCTACGTTATATATCGTGGATAGCCTATGTGGTGACCCGCGATCCACGCAACGGCATACGCGAAAGTATCGTGGTGGCCAACTCACCCCATGGTAACTATTATGTTCAGGACGGAATGGATATGGGCGCCATCATGGACACCGATATATTATCGTCCGAGGTAATAAACCGGGTATAATTGGCATTTGTACATGAACATTTCATTATACTTTACAATGATATAAATTTTCATTAAATTCTTAAAATTATATTCACATTATTATATAAGTTAAAATTATATAACAAGGTTATTATAGTAGGCGAGTAAACCCTTCGGGATTTAAATAAAAATAAAATATGTTGCTAGACGAGTTGAGAATTGATGTTGATGCAATTTATTTAACTAGCAGCATTTATATTCACTACTCATCGCATATTCATGCGATTCACACAAAATAAACCCGTCAAAAAATTTGGCTCGAGTTTAGAATATTCCGTATATATTTACAAATACTGATTATTCTATATTTTTCACAGTTCTATACAGTATATGTTTGATTCAGTGAACACACCTATTCATGAAAGGCTCAGTAAAAAAGGTTTTATAATAAGAAACACGTATATTTGCAAAAAATAAATATTAGCACATGTGTAAATATTTATATTTCCCCTATCTGGAACAATATACGAATTTAAAATTGCCCTACACAATTATTATGTATTTATTTATGTTGGTTTTATACAAAGAAAAACAGATTTTTGTTTGTGACAATTTTTAAACTTTTTAAACCATTTTTTCTTATAAATAACATTAGTAATTGGTTTTAGATGTAAATTATATCTATTATATTGCAATGTCGCTGCTTTTATGTAATTTATTGTACAGTATATATTAATATTTATAATATGGTGTTTTATATGCATTTTGTATCTAGATTAAAGAATCGCCTAAAACATACCTGGAAATGGACGGTCAACTGACTGTACACATTGAATGGTGCGATTCAATGATGTTATTCAATCATATTTACCATAAATACGATGATATTTCTCGTATACACTGTCAACAAATGCGGTCAGTATTTTAATCTAGATAATTATATAATTCAGTACAAAATAGACACAATTCACGTAAATTTAAATTTATGGTTTATTTGATTAAACTCAAATAATAAGTCATTAAATATCACAATCATTTATAGCCATTAAATTTAGTGTAATATAAATTAAAACATTATGATATTTACCAAGGTATACTCAAATATTAAAATGTTAGATAATTTACCATAAATTAATTTTAATATCTTATTTAAACATTAAAAGTATGCGAGAAAAATATTATTTCATTAATGTCTATCCATTACACCCCGTATATTACAATTCAAATTCATGACTTTATGTGTTTATGATTTACAACCAAAGCTATTTCAACATAATAAGTCATTTAATTTAATACGTTTAGGTAAAATACTAGACAATCATAATTGTAATTTTATGCCCATATAATATTCAGACATTAAGGTTCACTCTTCAAACTCTCTCTCTCTCTCTCTCTCTCTCT